TTGTAGAGATCGGCGAGCAAGGACGGACAGAAGCGTTGGATCGCGAATCTTCGACGCACAGCTCTCAACCCTCTCCCCTTCTCTCTCTCGAACAACTAGAATGATGATGGACCAGTATTCTTTGGCTTTTTTCATTTTGTTCTTGGCCGCAGCTGGCCCATTCTTTATTTTAAATTGGGACTAGGCTTTAAGTCCACTCCAAGCTTATGTTGTATACTAATCCGTATTTAATAATCTATTACAAAAGATTTATTAATTTATTATAAATAATTTGCTTCCAATTAGTATATATAAACCTTATAAAATGGAAAAAAAAAATTGTTCATCACGCAGGTGAATTTCTAGCACAAAATTTTATTAGAAGGAAAGACTTTGATAGGGGTTAGTGCAAGACAAAAGCATTCCTTAACACTTCATTTTTTGTATTTCAAATTTAACTAAAATTAAATACACTCAATAAAAATTTTCAACCGCGCATCGCACAGGTTAGCATATGAACTGTAATATTGTCTCTAAAAGGGGCGGGTTGAGCTTCGATTCTCCCTGTCAACCTCGAGAATGGGTTTATGTTCTGGGCGTTGGTTGAATTATATATTAGCCGTGTGCGATGAAGAAAATTAGCCACCATGCTGCAAATATGTGAAATAGAACGTATAATTTCAATGAGGAAGGAGATGGACCGTGAATGTTGTGGCTGAGCGGAGTACAAAGAGGCGGTCGATCAAATATAGCAATATGTTCCCTCTGTATTAATTGAATAATAATGGGGGTGGCGGTCGATTGTAATTTTGTGCTCTAGGCCTAAAACTTTCATTATATCCTCTATTGGGCTTTAATATTATGGGCCAGTATTCAAATGTGATCTTCAGCACAATACTACAAATATAATAACATTGGGTGATATTAGTTGTTTTTATGGTGGCTGCTAAACATGTTTATTACTCTTTCATAAATGTGGGGGTGTGATTTTTTAATAATCTATTTTAATGCCCTTGCAAAAATAATTATTTTAATGCCTTTCAAGAAAAACAAATTTATTTTAATGCCATTTTGTCTATTTGTTCTTTTTAAATAAGGTGTGTAATTTATTTTTTTGTGCATTTGAAAAATTATATTTCATCTGTATTTTAAAGTTTGCTACAATTTCTTATTTAATATGTATTTAAAAGTTTTTAAAGTTTTTTCTTTAAAAATACTAAGTTACCCTTAGTTTTTCTATTTTTTATTTTCTACTTTTCCAGATTCTCTCCTACTTAATTTACACTATGCATCACCCTTATTATTTTCTCATTAGATATTGTGTCAAAACTTAATGTGGTGATCTTTTAAATGAGGGGGTGTGACTTTTTGGGGTTATATTTGTGTAATGGGCTTTTTAACGTTTAGTCTTGAATGTATAGCTTAAACTCTCATGTACTTTTACCAATTTTTGTTAACTACTCCGTACAAAATTTTAAAATGCATTTTAATTGTAATTAACCTCAATCAGTAATACATTTGACATAATATCATTATTGGTCTGGGTTCTGGATGATGGCGTTAAGGATGGGACCTGTCCGGTCTCTAATGGTTTTTCGATGATATCAAAAATCTGAGATCGAAAAAAATTCATTTACATTTAGTTCGAGTCTGCTTTCGTTAGATCGGATTCGGTCTAGGATCGAATAGAGCTGGTTAAGGACCAATTGAAGAATTATCATATTTGAGTATTGTTTAATAATGTCATAACACACTTACACATATTTGCACACCCCCTGATTTGCCAATTTACCCCCGCAATTCGTGTAAAAAATGCAATTCGTATAAATGCATAATTATCATATTACTTGAGATGTTTATACTTAGACTTATTTCAGTCTCAAACCAAACCAAACTTAAACAAACCAGACCTGATCATGCTTGGATATTAGAAATAGTAGAAGCGCCTATTTGAACATTTTCCCACAAATTTAGATTCAAGTATAATTCAAGAATGACATAACACACTTTCACATATTTTACTCTCTTATTTTACCTATTTGGAGAGACAATTCGTCTAAAAATGCAATTCGTGTAAATTTATAGTCACGTTATTACTTAGTCATTATAGATAATTTACCTTCAATTAATTTATATAAGCCTTTGATTTTCGGCAGGTGTTGCCGGTGATACCTAATGGGAGTAGACAACATGTAGTCAATGCGACGATTAATTCATCATATATGTGGTCGGAACAAGACTAATCCATCATATTCTTGCGATTTGAAGGTCTTTACAAATTGGATTGCCAACATTGGTGACGGTGTTGCGGGTGAAAGTAATGATGGTCATGTTCATATTATTCCTGAAGATCTATTGATACGCACAGATGGAGATCCTATAGCTGCGAATGTTGAAAGCATATTTCCGGAATATGTTGAATCTGCAGGTGATATGAGTTGTTTGCGCAACTGTGCAATTTAGGCACAGACACTGGCTGTGGTAGAATCTACCTTAGAAACACTGACCGTGCATGAATCCTTCTAATTGTTGATAAATATGAAGGAAACACTGACAAGCCTCAGAATGTTGTATTCAAATAAGTGTCTAACAATGTTTAGATTTACATTAAATGCATATTTATAATATTATGGTTTCAACGTTTTTGTTGGATATTTTTTATCTTTTAAGTAATGCTTAGTACCATGAGTTTGACCATATTGTTATAAGTGTGTTTTGTTTAAGACTTTGATGTATATGAGCATTACATGAAGATATATGTTGTCATCAATTGAATGTGATTGAAATTACTAAGCACAAATAAATTTGAAAAAACATCTCAAACCGTGCATCGCACGGGTGAGTTTACTAGTATGGTAAAATGTAATAGAAAAAGATAATATATGTTCGGTGTTTACTTGGTGTACTTAAAACCATACACACAAAAGAACAAATAGAACATTACTTACATCTCACACCAACAACAAATTGCTATCATCTACCACCACTCAATCCCATAGAAATCAATTCCATGCTTTCTACACCAGTTATTTTATTAGTACTGGTTAGTGAATCTCCAATATTAACCGCATGAGAAGCAACACCCGTCGATTTCAGAAGATATTCCGTCTCTTCCGAAGACATTTCACTTTCCCCCCATGGGTGCCTCTCAAGAATTCTCAATCCCTCTATCTCCATTGCCACTTCTTTCATAGTCGGTCTATCCTCTCTCCTCACCTTTAAACACTGTCTCGCAATCTTCGCAACTTCCATAAATTTCTCAAAGTTCACTTCGTTAACTATCCGATTATCAATAATTTGAGATAATCGTCCATTGTTCAGAGATGAAACAAAATAAGCTGATAGATTCCTGTCTTCCTCTGGCCTAGCGAATGAAATTGCTCTTTGTCCAGTTAATAGCTCTGCGAGAACCACCCCAAAACTATAAACGTCACTTTTATCTGTCAATTGACCCGTGTGGAAATACTCTGGGTCTAGATATCCAAATGTTCCCTGCACTAAAGTTGTGATTTGGGTTCGATCGAGAGGGACAAGCCGTGAAGCTCCAAAATCAGCTACTTTTGCGGTAAGCCTTTGATCTAGTAGTATATTGGCTGTCTTTACATCTCTGTGAATTATTGGGGGAGAAGCAGCGGAGTGTAAATATGAGAGGGCTCCTGCAGATTCTGATGCCACTCTTAAACGGGTTGCCCATGAAAGATACGATGATTGGTCTTGTTTATGGAGATGATCGTAGAGATTGCCATTAGTTATGAACTCATAGACTAGTAACGGAACTTCTGTCTCTAAACAACAACCAAAAAGCTTGACGACATTTCTATGGTTAATTTGGGAGAGAATGACGACCTCATTGATGAACTGTTCAACTTGACTTTTGTCACAAATCTTGGATTTTTTTATGGCTACCACTTCTTTATCCTCTAATACTCCTTTGTAAACTGTTCCATATCCTCCTTGGCCTAGGATCATCTTTTCATCAAAATTGTTGGTGGCTTTCTTAAGATCTTCCAATGTGAAGATTTTCATTCTTGTATCAGTTGGTCCCCTATTTCCTGCTATTTGTTGTTGTAACAATATGCCACCGTTTTGATGAAAAAATTGCTCTCTTAGTCTAGAAAGTCTCCTTTTCCTCGACCCCCAATATATGTAGAAGCTTACTATAAGCAAAGCTGTGACACCAATACTCAAACCTGTCCACCATAAGTTGAAGCATAATAATAGGTATGTAGCCTTCTTTTAAAGTTACAAAACTTTTGAGCACAAAAATTAAGAAAGTGAAAAAAAAACCCTAAACTATCCCCTCTTTCACTATAGTAGTAAAAAACATGTAAAGTTGAAATAATAAAGTTGTAACTTCAAGTATAAGAGTAAAGTATGAAGTGCGTGTGTGTAGGATCATTTGGCAAAAAGGAAACATATATAAACTTTTTTTCGAGATGGAGAGAGTAGTATACTTCACTGTACTTATATTTGTGCCCATTTGACTTGACACACACTTTCAGCAACTAGATACGAAGTATAGTATACTGTTAAGATTTGATGAGAAATGAGAAAAAATTGTTTCCGACTAAGTGTTGTGCTTCTTGTGGCCATACACATTTTGCTCGATTCAATCTCAAAGATTAACATTTTAAAAGTAATGTATCTATAGTATAGTACTCGTATATAAAATATTTTAATGAATAAAGACTAGCTATTTTAGTATTTTTAATTTAAGAAAGTATAAACATTACTCCGTATATGATTATATAGCTGAGAAGCGTTTATTGATTAAACTTGTGCATAATTCTCACTATATAAAGTCTAACAATTTTTTATAATTACTCAAAATATTCTTTGCATGGAGAACTATATAGAGAATGTTATGAAGGAATAGTTCATTTGTTTCTGTCAACTCTTGGAAATCATTATTGAATTGATTTTAACATCTCTAATATTTTGGCTTGCTTTTATTTAAAAGAATAGCGCTAGAAAAGTTATTTTTCAAAAGCTCATAGCAAAAAAAAAGAGAGATCACTTACTCAAACCAATTATTAGCAAGGTATTATTGCCATTAGATTTGCGCTTACAACCCGTTCCTTGTTTCTTGCCATCTCCTTCGTATTCATTTGGGCACGTACAAGTATAGTTACCAGGACTGTCTTTGCATTTTGCTTCTTTAACGCAAGGGTAATTAGTCGATTCTTCAATGCATTCATCTATATCTGTAAGAAATGGAGCATTAACAACAACATGACAATAAGGGAAGAACATACTTCTACACCACCCAAAATTTTCCTTTTTTGTGTAGATTAAAAGCAAGTTTGATAACTCTTATTTTCATCTAATCATCTTTACCAATTGATCAAGCACACACTTTTGATTTTGTGTGACGAATCATATAATAATCAAAACTGATAACATTGATGTTACTTTTCTAACTACATTGATCGAAATTGTTTAGAATGACCTTTAAACTAGTTTTCATATGGAATAATTTTTTTTCATTATTTTATTGATAAATGTATTTTAATTAGGGTTTTTTACAAGAATATTATTAAAGTAAAACATATTTACATAAATATGACAATTCATTACTACAATGTGGTGTTGTGGTAACTTAAGCTCAAAACTTGAACATGAATTACTATGATTTCATTACTACTCTAGTCACTTGTCATATTTTTGTAAATCATCTTTATTTTGGTCATATTTATGTTATTATTTCTTTTAATTATATATATTTTTTCATAATTTGATCGATATCAATAGATTTAGCATATTTCAGTATTATGAAAGAGTTCTAACCAATAATTAGGGGTGAACGAAAAATCGAAAAACTGAAACCGACCGACAAACCGACCAAAACCGAACTAACCAAAATCTAAACCAACTCATACCGAAGCCGACAAAAACCATTAATCATTGGCGGTCCGATTTACGGTTAACCTTTTGGGTTAAAAAACCGACCGACAAAACCATGCTTCAAATCAATTGAAACCGACCGAAGTTAACCGAACCGAAACCGATTCGAAGTAGTGTGGTTCGGTTTCAACTTTTCCAAAGCTGAAATTGATAAAACCAAAATCGACAAAACCGAACCGACTAATACTCATACAGACAACAATCAATAATAATGGAGTAAAGAGGACCTACTCTGGCAACCAATAGGGAGGTATGGATTCCCGCCATAGCCGTCTATGCATTTACAATTGTACCCAGACATGAATTCCGTCTCTACACACACCGTATTTGAGCCGCAAACATATCCATCTTCCTTAGCAGCACTTTCACATGTCTGGTTCTCATTCCCGGCGGCCCAATTTATCATCAAAGGCGTCGAATTGAACCTCACATTCGTAATATCATCCGCACTGAAGTTATACCCACCGTTTTTCGCCACAAAAGAATAGCTGCAGTTGTTGAATTTCCACACATTTTCGTCGAATCCGAAACTATATGCATCGACCTGGAGGTCCCTCATCCCGACCGCCGGAATCCCAATCTGGCAGCACCCAAACCCAGAGCACTTCCCGGCGTCCTTCTTTTCCGGCGCTCTGTTACACTTCGATATGCACGCAGTCGAGAACTGATTGTCTCCCTTGTAGCTGTTGAAATACCCATAGGTGTTGCAGCCGACGGTGAAGAACATGTTTGAGTCGCTGGAGACGGTGAAGGAATCCGGGACGCCGAGCCACGGCTGCTCGTCGATGATGACTCCACCGGATTCGTTGAAGCAGTTCCGGGATATGGGCATCAGGACTTCCATCTGCCCTTTCAGGTAATCAATGGCGGTGATTTGGGATTGGGAATTCTGGGTTTGAGAGTTATGGGATTGGGTCGTCCATAGCTTTGAGTCCTGGTCGCAGGACAGATTGAATCCTCTGTTCAAAAAACAGTTTTTCCCGATGCCGAATGGGTAGTGTATGTCCACGCCGCCGCACTTGTCGGGGCAGCCGGGCTTGGCCATGGTCGCCGCCGTCGCGGTGGCGAATCCAATCGCGAGCAGAGCTGCTATTGCTAGCTTCATTTGCATCTTCTCCTTTTTTGTGAAGTTTCTGATTGTATGGTCATGATTGTGGAATGAGGATATTTTAAGGTAGCTAGTTTTGGTGCGAGACCTGGAGTTGAACTTTGATTTGGTCAGCGGTGTGGTTCCATCTACACATAGGACTACTAGTCCTGGTGAATTTATTTCCAGGAAGTTGAGGCTTTACACTTTTCTTCTGCTTCTAGTCAAGCTGCTGCTGGGTCGTAGTGTGGAAATTTCTGTTTACAGTTCAGTTCGATTTAAATGATGCCTTAAAAGTTTAGTTTGACTTGTTCTATGTCGGTATGGTTCAGGTTAATTGTGTTTGGATTGTGGTGCAATCGAGCCCAAATTTAATACTCCTTCCCAAAAATTCGCCAAATTTGGCCAATGATATTTTCTAACATAAAATATTTTGAATATAAAAATTATATCAAAATGTTACTTTTTCAAAATATTTTCATTCAAGTATAAAATATATAGATTATATACAAATATAATAACTAAAATCATTTTCCAAAATTTACTTACATTTATTTTTAGGTTTAACTCGAACCACAAATTTTTATATATTTTGAAGGCATTTAATATATAATAATGCAGATGAAAGAAAATTAACTCGAATCACAAATTCTTTACTTAAAAAGGAAAGTGACAAAGTTAATGGGACATCCAAAAAAAAGTTGACAAAGTTATAAGGGACAGAGAGAGTATTTCATTTCTCCCTAACCTAAGATAATTATTCAAAAAAATGTTGGTGACTTTCTTATGTTATTTTAATGTGAAGATTTTGAGGCTAGTATTATTTGGTCTACCGTTTCCTGTTGGAAAAAGTGTCAATAAAATGCATTAAAATGGTCATTTTAGGGCAGTATTTTGAGTGAGGTTCACTTTCTATTTGGGTCAGGTCAAAGTGGTTTCAGATTGTCCTTGTTAAATACTACAATTCGATATGTGGTACACTCAAAACGGATAATGGGTGAATGAGAAATTAATTTTCGAAGTTCACTCGTAGGAATGAAGAAAATAGGAAAATGATGGGTTTCTAGTGTGTTAATTTCCCACACCGGAAAACTCAAGGGACTTTGAACCCCTTATAAGGAAGCCTCTTTTAAGGAGTTAAAATTCCTAAGTGAAAAGACTCTCTTTGCGAGCAGGGGGTGCTAATCAAATCCCAAAATGAAGAAGAAAAATCGCGACTTGCATGCGCGGTTGACCTGCAGACACGAATGTCGTCCGAAAATCTATCTCTTAAAGATGAATTCATAGATTGCATGAGCGTTTATGCACCTCGAAAAACACGTCTAGCATTCTGAAAACATCCCTTCTTGTTCATACTTGTTCTTGTTCGGCGGAACAATTTGTTTTATTGCTCAAACAATTGTTCGTAGTCATTTTGTCATGGGAAACGATCGTTGGAACGCCGTTTGAACTCCGTTTTTCTTGAACTCTGTTCTGAACTCTGTTCTAAACTCTGTAACTATTCATCGTCTTCCTCAAGTGTTTGAATTCCGTTTTTCTTGAACTCCGTTTTGAACTCCGTTACTATTCATCATCTTCTTCAAGCGTTTTTAACGGCGTCAGACATCAGGACCCTCTTTGATAACGGAGTTCATACACATGAATCACTTTGAGAAAAAATAAAACACATGACCTAAGAGGAAAATTGGCTCAATCACAAATACCTTTTCTCTACTTTTTCCTTCCATAAAAATGCACGCAATTTGGTAAATAAATCTATGTTTTCCACCACCATGAAAACGTGCAACAAAACATTGATTAGTGCATTGCAAAAGTGACCCTGCTCGCACTTTTCACGGAAAACACCATTCTTAAGGTGGCAATTGCACTTCTACTTCACTATATTGCACAGTTATCTTCAAGAATTCATTTGAATGTCTTCCCGATTAAAGTTTTAACTGAAATTGGATATGAGTAAACTAGACTTAATGAATAAGGTGCTCAAAAAATTTCATCAAAAAAATCCACTGGAAACCACCCCAAATGGCGACGGCTTAAGGACTTATTTGATCCTCCTTATGCAATTACGAGCACCAATATGACCATTTACGCATATAAAAAGGGTGTGGTTTTTTTAGTTTCATTTCATGTTACTACACTTTTAGTTTTAGTTATCTCACTTTTTACGTTGAAAAAAATTAACTTGCTAATAAAATTAATATCACATTTTCGGTGAAGTGCACTTTAAAAAGAAGGTATTGTACTTGACTACTTGAGTGATGCACAGAATAGAATACACAGCATACACTTACACTTAATTGCGAAATTCTTAGATAGGGTAATTAATATAGAAAGGGTGTGAATTTTTGAGTTTCTTTTCATGATGCTACACTTTTATGTTAAGTTATTGCACTTTTTACGTTGAACAAATTTCACGTGTTTATATAATTGCTATCACATTTTCAGTGAAAAAGTACACTTTTTACTTAGTTTCTCACTTTTAAAACTCATATATATCATTTATGATAAGTATTTTCAGTCATTACTTATTATTTTAATATAATACTTACGTAGTATTAGTTCATTAATCATGCCTAATACACATACATGTATGCATGTCTATAAGTATGTGTATGTGTTTGTTATAAAGTACATATAATTTAATTAAACATGTTTATACATTATTAATATATGTATGTATGTATGTATATGTATGTTTAATTTGAGTATATATTTATATATAACGGGTACGGGGCGGGTGTAGTAATCTCCATCCCCGCCCCATATTTTAGCGGGGTAGAAATTGTTGGAAAAATGTGTGAAAAATTGCATTAAATGGCTATTTTGGGGCAATTTTTTGAGTGGGGTCCACTTCCGATTTGGGTCGGGTCAAAGTGGTTTCGGATTTTCCTTGTTAAGGGCTACAATTCGATATATGGTACGCTCAAAACGGATAACGGGTGAATGAGAAATCGCTTTTCGAAGTTTACCCGTTAGAAGGGAAAAAGGATGGGTTTCTAGTGTGTTAATTTCCCACACCGGAAAACCCAAGGGATTTGCTACCCTTTATAAAGGGACTTCCCCCTTATGGAGTTAAGATTCTTAAGGGTAAAGGCTCTCTCCACGCGCGCAGGGGGGGGGGGTGCAAATCAAATCCCGAATTCGGAGAAGACAAACCGCGACTTGCGTGCGCGGGCGACCGCACATCAGAACTGCTCCGGTTCTGATGACAGCAATAAATGCCCAACGTTTATATCTTTTAATGCAGCGTTAAATGGACAGTTCATGGACAATTCAATGCCCAACGGACTGGTCATTGATGTCCAACGTTCAGGTCCATTAATTCACTATTTTCATACAACAAATCCTCCTATATAAAGGCTGGCAGGTGGTTTGCAACAACACACGTTCTTACACGAATTTAGACACTCCATTCACGTTTTGCACCTCAAAAACACACTGCTAGCATTCCGAAAATTTCCTTTGTGTTCGGTCTTTGTTCTCGTTCGTTGGAACTCTTGTTTGTGTGCTCAAACATTAGTTCGTTGTCATCGTATCCTGGGAAACTATTGTTGCAACGCTCCTAGCACCGTGGGAGGCAACAAATACGTTTTAAGGACATCGTGCGTAGCACGAGCTTTGACAAATTCTGCTCCATCTCTTTTACTGTTTTCTTTCGTCATTTTATTTAATTAATTTATTTTAATTAATTTTCTTTATTTTCCGAAACACACCCAACAGAAATATCTCACCCATCCCCGCCCCCGCCCCACCCCCAAGCTCCGCCCCATCCTTCCCCCATGGGGCGGTTCCCCACGGGTCCCCGCCCCCATTGCCATCCTTATTGACACTTGAAAGACAAAGGAAAATAAGTGTTAGGATTAGGGATGGACGGATAAAAACGAAGGGGAGCTGCACAAGACATGAAAGACATGAAGGAAAATAGTTTGATTTATGATTTGGGTTTTTATCATCTAGGTTATAATCTTTTATTTCTATACGTTGCATATTATGCTTTTCACTTAAAGTTTGATTTTTGAATATGTTTTGCGTAGAGTCTATAAATTTCATACTCCTATATTAATCCCTAACAACCTTTCCAAAACTCAACTGGCACTTCCTCCTCACATTTGTTTGCTGTGATATATCATTAAAAATTGTGATGGATGAAATGTTTTTTTTGCAAAGATATTTAATACGTAGTACTCAATAACTCCAAATGTTAAAAGAGAAACTTGAGCAGCCCATACTTTCCTAGTTTCCTACACAACTTGAAGTTAGAACCTAGAAGATATGCTAGATTTGAATGACATAAAACTTATTGGTTTTATAACTCAGATACACACATTGGCTTTGGTAAACCTTGAATGAGAAATTTTGAAGGAAATGCTGATAACGCCCTCACAGTAAGGGCTTTTTGTGTGAAATCCATAGCAATCTCCGAGCCTTTAATTATGCCCACCCCACAGAAAATTCGGCTGGCCGGGCGGTGCTAACTACATCCTGCATTTCACTTATGTACATGGACTTCAAGATAGGGTGGCTTTGGATTTAGTCTGTGCTTCTTGGAATGCAGTGAAGCCAAACTAGTGCCTAATTCGGCCGGGATATGACCAGGTTTCGGTTTGTTAGTTTCAACCTCTGCATGAGGTTTAGTATTTATCGAGTGCCCATTATTCACTTCTTTATTTGTTAATGTGTTCCCAGAGTCCACAACATTAGATTCTGGCATAGAAACGCCAGCTGCAGCGGCAGTGGCGTAGCTAGGGGTGGGCCAGACCTGGCCCAGCCCAAATTTTAAAAATGTCTTTATTTTTAGTGTAAAAATTTGCATGTAAAAAAATTTTCAAAAATATTCTTTGTACCAGCCCAGTCTGGCTCAGGGTCTTGGCTCCGCCCCTGTGCAGCGGCAACAGCGTTAGGGTGTAGAAGAAGACGCCTTGCAGCAGCTTTCTTCCTCACTTCTGTAGCTGCCCGGGCAGCTCTTTCATCAACTTTTCCCTTCCCCCTCCTCTGGGTACATAGCCCTTCACCAAGTACAGCAGCTGCAGGCCTGCAGCGGCAGCATTTAGAGATCCATTCCCACTGGCAGCTTGAAGTATTTGTATTTCTTATTTAATTTATATGAATGATAGAATTAACAAAAATATGGTTTCCTCTATTAACCATTGTCTCTTGTATTCCCATTGGCTCTTGTAACCAGCACCACCAACTCTTTTAGAGGAGAATCCTGCTAGACATAAGGAGTAAGGGTCTGTTTGCAATAACTTCTGCTTTTAAAAAAGTACTTTTTTTAATGAAATGAGGAGAAGTGATTAAATAAAAGTTGATTGTGTTTGAGAAAAAAGTGATTTTGAAAAGTAAAAGTGGGTAGT